AAACGTGAGCAGTGTTCATAGGGCTTTCTTTTTTTCCATCTCTGCTACTTTTCTCTCTATGATGCCAGGTAAGACTGATACCTACTCTTTTTGTTTGGGTCTGTTGGGATCCTCAGCTCATATTAGCAACTGTTTTACTTGGCACACTAAGTGCAAAAAACACTAAGTGCAAAAAATTGTTCAAAAACAGTGAAAAGTCATAGATGGCTGGGCTGCAGGCATGGCTTCAGGGAAGCTTCTGGTGATATCTGTAAGTAAGTGAATTCAAACTTTATGGATAAAGCAAAACTTTATTATTATTCAGTTTGGTTCAACACACTGTAGCCAGTCCTATCGGTTTTGTCCCACATTATACAACTTTACATCAGGAAAGACTGAAACACTGCATTTAACCTTAAATTATATGGAAAGAAGAAACACGCTGCCAATTCTGAAAAAGTTAGAATAGTGTGCAAAATGGAAAGAAAATCCACATATTTTTAGTCATATTATGGGGCGATCGTGGTCAAGAGTTAGGAGTTCGCCTTGTAATCGGAAGGTTGCCGGTTCGAGCCCGCTCCGACAGTCTCGGTCGTTGTGTCTTGGCAAGACACTTCACCTGTTGCCTACTGGTGGTGGTCAGGGCCGGTGGCGCCAGTGTCCGGCAGCCTCGCTCTGTCAGTGCGCCCAGGGTGGCTGTGGCTACAATGTAGCTTGCCACCAGTGTGCGAATGTGTGTGTGAATGGGTGGATGACTGGATATGTAAAGCGCTTTGGGTCCTTAGGGACTAGTAAGCGCTATATAAATACAGGCATTTACCATATATTAGAACAGAAAACATATCAAATGTTTATACAGAATGATTTTACTATTTCATGAAAATATGAGCTCATTTTGAATTTGATTAAAGCAAATCATCTCAGAGAAGTTGAGACAGGGGCAACAAAAGGCTGCAAAAGTAAGTGGTGCTAAAAAAAAAACATCTGCTGGGACATTTTGCAACTAATTAGGTTACCTGGCAACAACTCAGCAAGGTATATGAAACAGTTTCACCAACCTGGAAAAATTATGTCTACAAATTGCAGATTTGTCTTAAAATAATAAATTGTCTGAGTTCGAAGATGTTAGGAAGCCTTCTGTTTTTACATTTTTCACAGCATCCTAACTATATTGACATGGGGATGTAAAATGCCATAAATACAAGAGGGAGAGGGAAAGCTTTTTATATGATGTTTTTAATACAACATGCTGACATCTGACCTTTGACTTATGACACTGAAACATCGCGCATTAACATTGTCTGTTTTATTATCTTTAACCATATGATTGGACTAGAATTGGCTGACAAAACTTGAGATTTTAAGATATATTCATGCAGCGTGTGATTTGTGTCTTTATGGTGTCATTGTGACGTCGTAGGGCATTGCGTTAAAAAAATAAAAGTGCGTTGTACGGCTCTAGCTCTCTCCATGCCAGTGATGGATCTAGAACATTTTAATAGGGGAGGGGGGCATACACCTCTTCGGTGAAATAGGTGACAATCCCCTTCATGTAATTGGAGTCAACAAAATATCCAGAAAAAACACTTTAAAACTATTTATTGTACTATTATATCTTCTAAGAAAACAAAGCCAATTTTTAGGTATAATTTACACCTAAATGTGTCTGTTGTTGGTAGATGACGTTTGATATAGGGGGACCCTAAGATTATTATTAATTTTATATGGTAAGTTAATATTTAATTTGAAGGCTATAAAAGGATTTTGGATGTGTTTTAAGGACATAAAAGTTGGGGGCAGCTAGAGGACAAGCCTCTACAGCAAGGGGGCAGTTGCCCCCCTGTAGAACCCTTCATATGCTATATTACTCAATATGGTTTCTTGACCTTTGTCCAAGGGTCAACTTGGGCAAAGGTCAAGGTCAACGCTAACACTGTTTCCTGGGGTCATAAAATTGACATGGGAGTAACTGCCTCAGTGCTTCAGTTACTTGGTAAATAATCTGTTTGTGCTTGCAGTGTGGTAGAACATACTCAGTAATTGTGGACAAACCTGATTTATTACCACTTAAAACAATGATAATCAGTGCTTGCTTAATGAAAGTAATTTACTGTTTATTGATGGAAATTCCAAAAAAAAAAATAGTGAAGCACTGGACCTGCCGAGCAGGCCGTGTCTCATCTGCACCACTGAACGTACCCAAAGGTTTATGAAATCTACATCAGTGTCTGCATGTGTGAAAGTGCAACGGGAACACAATGATCCATTTGTGAAGTTTGCCACGTGACACCTAGAAGTCAAAGACAAACATAATGATAGGAAATGAGATGTGTGACATTGTCGCAGCCGAATCCGGATATTAACGCTGGAAATGGAACTTCTGGGAGTCAAGGAGAGCAAAGGACTCCGAAACAGTGTCTAAATCAACCAATTTTCCTCGGATGAATAACGTCAATGTGATGAATTCATTACTTCTGCAAGAATTCATGCTGAATATAAGGGTCTACCATGATACACAGCCCCCACTGTGGCCCCTGTTCCAAAAAATTACTGTCACAGTGACATGGCGCCAAGCTGCCTCTCGGGGGATTTTGGCCTCAAGGATGTGATGAGCCAGGAAAAAATAAACGGCACACAGCCCCAGGCAGAGAAAATGATGAGTTTGCTGTAATATCATCCAGGAGCGGTGCCCCCAGCGTGATACTCAAATACTTATATATGGCGAGACAGACAAAAGAAAGAAGAATTTCAGACGAGATGCGAATTCGACACAAAACAAAAGTCACAAAAAGCCAGCGTGTCAGTCGGATATTTTATTAGTGCCTTACCAACAAGCTTTGAAGGAATTTCCCCCTCAGGCTACTGAATCCACGTCCACACTATGAATAATAGCTTTGTTTGGGCGACTGCATTATTTATTCATTCATTCATGTATTATTTACCCCTTTAGTTTCATTATATGACCTTGTGAGGAATAATTTCTTCGAATCTTAAAACCAAATCTAGTTTTCCAGCAAATCTTACCAGCAGAAAAAAGAACTGTTCAATTCTGCACTTATCATAATGCCAGGTTTGGACTCTGGTTTGAGTTCAACATTTTATTTCTGTTTATTGTTATGTGTTGTTTTTCCTTCTTGCTGGTTAGTTTCATATTCTGGTTTATATTTTGTTTATTGTTGTTTTATATGTTTTGTTTTATATTTTGTTTTCCATGATTTTCCTCTCTGGTTTGGTTGTTTTATTGATAATTTGTCATCGCAGCTGATGTTAATTCCCTGAGTTTCAGATTTCCTGCCCTCTTGTGTTTCCAGTGTCTGTGTTTCTCTGTTAGATGTTAGTTACCTTTTTATTTTGATAGTCTCTCCTTTTGTGAGTTTCACTTGTGTTTTCCTTTTTTTTCGCATCTCCGATTAGTCTTGTGTTTTTAAATCCTCCCTCTGTTGTGCTCTTTGTCGTGTTGTATTGTTGGTACTTGGTTCGTCTCCTCTCGTGTGTCTTCATGTTTGGATTTTTTTACTAGATTTCAAAAATAAAGATCTGTTTATTTCACGAGTCTACATCTGGATCCGCCGCCACACATAATACAACAATTCTTAATGTCAGTAACTCAACAAAAAATAAAAAGGCTTTGTTAAATGTTCCTGAATATTTATTTCAACATTACGAAAAAACCTCAAAAGTTAATTTAAAGACATGGCAGATTTTCAGTTAACACGCCAACATTTCCACACAATGGATGAAACATTACATTTTAATTCATCTCGTCACCTCTGATGGCAACTCTTTAACTGACCCACATTCGCACAGTGCTGCCGTTCACACATCAAAAATAAAGTTCTGCTTACTTCAACTGAACCTCAGATTTTCAGATTTATTCAAAGAAAATAGACAAAAATATGCACACGTGGAATTTACTGTACAGATAAATAGTCTTCACAGTGTGCATTTCAGAATCTTTCTGTATAGTGATGACATATACAGTAATTATATGGTAATTAGTGTACTTTATGAGACTGATCTCAAATCGTCTTTTTTCAGGTTTCAGACCGAACCCCCCCCCCCCCCCCCAAAATAAATAAATAATCTAATTTTACAACACAAAGTTAACAAGTTTTCACAATCCAGGCAACAGCTAGTCTTTAACCAAGAAATAGGAAAAAATTATCATGTCCTCCAACTTTTGTCTATGCTGACCAGAAAATACGTCAAAACTGGACAAATTCACACAAATCGCTGTCCGATTTTGTGTAATAGTCTGTGGGATTTGTGGCTTTAATTTTGCCCTTTTGGACAGGTTTTCAGCTGTTCTGTGTTTGATTCCAGTTTTTCTTTGCTTTATTATTCCAAGTATATTAGTTTGACTTCTTGGTCCTTAAGCAGAAAAAGCTGATGACTGCAGTCGTCAGGCATTCTTTGGCTTTGTTGAACTTCCTCTGTTGATACCCTTCTGTTTGTTACCTGGAGTTTTCAGATGCCGAGTGTGTTTTGGACTTTTGCTTGTGACCAGAGATGGGCAGTAACATATTAACGAGTAAAGTAAGTAAAGTAAAGTAACGAGTAAAGAGGTGACAATAGAGTTAAGAGTGACGGGACTTAGTGCTGCGGAATCTTTGATTTTATTCATTTTTTGCTGTTTTACTTGCATCTATCTGAAAAAGCGAGTGTAAACACAAAACATTATTTTTATTTTATATGCTGGAATATGCAGAAAATAGGTTTAAATGTTAAACAAATTTCTTCAAGTCAAAGACTGTTGCATATAATTTAATTTTTGTCTGATGCAATGTGCATAAAGTCAAAAGATTAAAACTAATAAAAAGTTTTAAAAACAGACTTTTTCATTTGATTACATTTTATATGATGGATTATGCAGAAATAAATAGAATTGGGCAGAAAGGTCTAGTGCTTTATTATGTTTTTGTTTTTTTTAAAGTAACTAAATAATAAAGTAACTCATTACTTTTGAAAATAAGTAATCAGTAAAGTAACAGGATTACATTCTTGGAGAAGTTTTTTTTTTCAACTAATTACTATTTTTAAGTAACTTGACCAACACTGCTTGTGACCTATTAATATTTTGTTTGTTTACTTTGTCCGACTCTGGATCCTAATTCTGCAAAATATCACATGTTGGGCAAATTCCTCCTCACTTTACCATCATCACAAAGTGCATTCATCAAACTTTTAGTCTGAAGTCCATTACTCACAGAGTGCGTTGCAAATAAACAATGGTTAAATGTCCAGATTCAAACGTGTCGCGTAATGTATATAGCATGTCGAATGCGTTGCGTTTTTGCTGAAAATTTGTCCTACAAAAAAAAAACGTACAGTGAAAAACAGAAGTCAACATCAAGCAATGATGAGCCGACCCTTTTCTAAAGAAGAAAAGGAAGAGACTAAGAATTTGGTTCAATCCACGTCTTACAAGAAGGCAGCAGCAGGGAGAATTTCATGCTTTGATCCAGGAGTTGAAGCTGTATCACCACCACTTTCGTACATTTCGAGCTCTTGTTGGCAGAGTTGAAACTGTGGAGGTAGAGAAATAATATCAATGAGCTGAATGACCCACAGCAGCGACTAGCTTTGTGTCTGAGGTAAAATAGTATTATTTTACTCCTTGGACCAGTGTGTGTACTGAGCTACGGAGCATTTGTTGCCAAATGCAGCGGTGGGATTCGTCAGATCTGTTTATTGGGATCTCAAAAGTCTACACACCAATGTCAAAACAAATGTGGCAAATTCCCCACATTATCTGGATGTTACAGCAGCCTTAACAGTGGTTACTGATTCTTGTCTACGACATACTTACTGCATAAACACAGTTTCTACAGTTCATCTCGTGGTCGCGTGTCCTGCAGCCAGTATCTGTAGACAGCCACGGGATCTACATTCCAGTGCTTGTGGAAGGAGATGGCGTGCTGCGTGGAGATCATTTCCTCGGAGTAGTCATCTGGTCGGGCCTGAAATATCAAGGACAAGCGGTTTGTCTGTCTGTGCGTGTGCCCCGCACGCCTATCCACAGAACAAGGATATCTGTATTATCTCAAAGAGCCAGCAGTAAACGCATAATCATAAGTTAAACTATAATTAACAGGCAGAAAACACAAGAATAAAATTCAAAAAGCCCCACCAGTTTAATTACAAAGCTGCAAGCTTCTGGGACAAAATGATTAATGTCTCAATTATTTTTCTACGTGGCAAACAGATTGTTTCTCTCGGGTTGCGAGGTTCAGCACTCTGTTAGGAAAGCAGAACCACATGGCATTCTCTGGGTCTCTCTAATTGACCTTCATTTAAACAAGGCAAACAGGAAGAGAGTATCACACTCTGCATCATCTGGTCCTAAGTAAAGGTTAATGTCTTCATTAACACTTGGGGCAATTTGGGCTCATTTAAGTGGCGTCTCTGTGCATTTAATCAAGGTGTGAGTCACTTCGCAAAAGCAAGAAAACAAAGACAGAAATGGTTTGAAAGGCTCTTCTTCTATTCTCCTACCCACACGTCTTAAACTTTAGCACTTTGGATTTATTTTTACTAAACAGCCTCATATTAAATTGGTGCTCCAGTAAATGAAAACATTACAATAGATTTTAAGTTCATAAGCAGCTGCTCTTAAAAAAACGATTCCTATTTAAGTCAAGCAGATATTTACTGTTTAATTAAAACTTCATGCTTTACATCTGTCACACATTTTCTGTGTTCAGCTGACCTGCTTAAACAGACCAAATTAATTTACGCATTGCTTTCCCAGGAAGTTTTAGACCCATTTCTGTAATATACTTACATATCTATATTATTGCTAATATATATTGTAATATATCTATATCACTAAAGCACTTCTGGATGGATGCAAACTGAATTTCGTTGCCCTGTGCATGTGTAATGACAATAAAGTTGAATTCTATTCTATTCTATTTTACAACTCTCATAAAAATAAAAACAACGTCATCAAGAGAGCTGTTCACCGTGACAAGAACACGTGCGTGTGTGTGTTGCTCTCTACCTGGTGGAATAGTGGACTGTGTGTAATGGGAACACCGAGCGTAGTGAAGCACCTGCCCAGCACCATGTCATCAGGAGCATCATCGCTGTAGCAACCACAACTACTGGAAAGCAGCCTGGACACCGCCGTCCTGCTGAGCACCATCCTTCTCTCACACACACACACACACACACACACACACACACACACACACACACACACACACACACACACACACACACACACACGGTGTTCAGTGTGTAGCGCTCCCTCTGTTATGTTCTTACTATGTAGGCATATTAGGTATGTATACATTAACCCCTCCAAAAACTATTTTTATTTTAGTCATCAGTTAAAGATTTTCAACAAGAACAAATGTGCAAAAAACATTTGACTGGATTACATAATGCACAGAAGAATGTGGTTATATTATTATCAGTATTTAATTCAAAGCTGACATGAAAACTGCAAGGAAAGCCAAAGGTTTTGGGACAAACCCCGTGTAAGAAGCATAGAGTTTGTATTGCAACATTTATTTTTGCTTTATTGCAACACTGGTAAATCCTCACACAGCCTAACAGCTTTAACTCCCTTTTACTATGGTCTGGCTCTTTTAATGCAAATTGAGACCAAAGCCAACGGAGAAGTACAATGTAACAGAAAAAAAATTACTGGTTCCAGCTAATATGGGCCTTGATGCCATGCCTTGCTTGTATCTGATTGTAGCTATGTAATAGCTAAGGTACAACTATTGCCTCTAATGTTAAATAAAGAAAAATCAGTAATGTTCAAATTTTCACACAAGGTTTTGCATGTTTTGGCTCAACAATCATTAACACCGACAACCCAAAAATATCATCTGACCCAGCCTCACCCTCCTCCTCCGGTGGTGTAGCTGTATCCCTTCTGGGTTAAGCCATAGCCATATCTTTCCCCCAGGCTCACTGCTTCCTTTGGGTCATAGCAACGCAGCAACTGTCTCAACCGGGGTAAACTGTTGGTGGACCAAGAGAGAGAAAGTTTGCATAGCATACGTAGTACCTACATGCCTACAATAAAATATTAGTTATGTCCATGTCTCATCTCCAGTCCCCTTTTCCCTCTGTATGTTTTTACAGTGTCCGTGTTCCTCGTCCGTCCGTCACGTTAAGTCCACATCTACGTCTGTCGTGTGTTTCACGTCTATGTCTATGTCGTCAGGCTCGCATTGCCATGTCTGCGTCTCATTATGTTTCCTGTTTTATTTTGAAGAGGTCTGTCCCATGTTCATTGAGTTTAGTTTCCCTCTCCCTGTCGCGTCATTATGTTCATTCCAATTAGCTGTGTTCCACGTGTGTTTCCTTTCTCCTCGTCTGCCTCGTATGTATTTATGTAGTCTGCTGTCATGCATTCATTGTCAGGTCGTCTGTTGTTTCAAGCCATGTTTCCGGGTTTCATGTATCCATGTCCTGGTTTGTTCATGTCAAAGTTTTTCATGCTCTATTTTAGTTTACCCAGTTTAGGTTAATGCTTAGTTTTGCATCGGTTTGCCTTGCCCTTTGTCTGTACCTTTTCATCAGCCTTATAAAACAGCTCGCCTTTTGTTAAATCAAATTACGTTCCATGTTCCATTGTGTGTGCGTTTGGGTCCACTATTCAAAGGCCACGCAGTGTGCTTCAGCCAGATTGTGACATTGTGGAAGTTAATCTTAGTAACAACAAGTAACAACATTATGATATAAGGATCAATTGAAAGGCAGCAACCCAAACAGACATGTTTTCTATGCTACAGTATACATTAGAGGTGGGAATCACTATACATCCCACGATACGATATTCTCACAATACTTAACGCACGATACGATATTATTGCAATTTTTTAAAATATTTTGCGATATTCAGATTCTGTACATAAAGGTAAACTTTATCAATATTCATTTTATCTAATATCAAAGTCTCACACTCAGTCTTTCTCTCATTTCAGTCAGTTTTATTGTTGACAAACTGAACGGTTTGTATTACAGTCTAGTCCAACTTAACTGAATGTAACCATCTGGTACAATTATAGCTATTCTGAACTATGCAATTTATGAAAACTGCAGCCCATTCAGCAATTGAAGAATTTGAAAGTAAATTAAAACAAAATATAATTTTACATTAAATAAAAAAGTTTTAAACTTAATTAAAATAAAACATGTCTTAAATTAAAATAAGTAAACTCTTATGTTTATTGCTGCCATAAAAAAAGTTAAACACATTTGGACAGTGAAGGAATGTCAGGATTCTTGCTCAGAAAAAGTCAGAGCACAAAAACCTTTTTTGTAACAAAATATCGATTTCTGCTGTCCTTTTATCGATACATTATTAGCAAACAAAATATCACGATACTACACAGAATCGATTTTTTCCCCCACTCCTAGTATACATATACACTATAAATAGAAAAAAGTACTGGGCCAGTTTTTTGCTCATGCCAGAGGATGTTTGGAGCCCTGCAGTTATTGAGTGTCGGAGACCACAGCGTTCGATGAGTCTGCACTGTAACTTTACGTGGTTTCTGCTACGGCTGAGCTGCTGTGGTTCCTGATTACTTGCATTTTGCAATAATAGTATTTACAGTTGATTGTGGATTACCTAAGAGGCAAGAAATGCCCCACACTGACTTTTTTCAACTGTGGCATCCTATTTTAAGGCGTGACGCTCAAATCCAGTGTGCAGGGCTACATGTTTGATTTTATACAACAGTGTAAATGATACTAAAAACAGTTGAATTGAAACATTAGACATTAGACATTAGACATTGTGGCCATATATTCAGGATAGGAGGATACACAAGATTAACATTGGGGACTTTTTTGCAAACTTCACTACAATACTTCTTTTTTTTTGCATTTCATATTAAATATGCAGATTAGAATGAAAAAGTACATTATAAACCTTTTTATAAACAACTTTCATGATTATAGTTACTGGCTGACTGGCTGTAGCTTTTTATTTTATTCATAACATTGTATTGTGATATATATGGGCTCAAAATGTGGTCATAAATATTTTGTACTTGTAAAAAAGATTTGTATGTGTAAAAAGATTGTATGTGTAAAAAGAATTGTGTGTGCGTAAAAAGATTTGTATGTGTAAAAAGATTGTGTGTGCGTAAAAAGATTGTGTGTGCGTAAAAAGATTTGTGTGTGCGTAAAAAAGATTTGTATGTGTAAAAAAGATTTGTGCGTGCGTAAAAAAGATTTGTGTGTGGACTTGCAAACCCCTGCAAGTTACAAGTACGGATTTTGACCCTATTTTTCTTCCTTTCATCTGATTGGTCAATGTCATGTCAATCACAAATGTAACAATCCAATCAGAGAACAGATGGGTTAGGCTGTCGGGGGGGCGCTTTTTTGAACTGCAGGTCCTTGAAGGGTGATACAGTTTGAAGCTGGAGGATCGCTATATAAATATCCGATAGCAGCTAGGTCCCCTAACTTTCAGTAGCTGTTGAAAGGAAAAAGTTGTGGTATATCAGTGGCTAGAAATACCATTATTACTTTAGGATTAGTTTAACACAAAGTCAGGGCTGACCCAGGACCATTGCTGTGAGTCACAGTGGGCAGCATAAAAGTCCTTTCACATCGGACGCAGGATGTGCTGCTAATGCTAACTAAAAGCAAAGGATCCAGAATTTGTTACGCTGGCTGCTGGGCTCTGTGGGTTTTTGCAGCAGCTCTACCTGTACTAGATGCACCTGCTCCTTGTCTTTTCTATCTCTGACTTTATGTCCTCTACAAGAGTTTGTTTTTTTTGCTGGTTCTTCAAATGTTCAATAAAAACATGTATGCTAATTCATAACGAAGAAAGCTTTGTAATGAAGACTGTCACATTTTGAGCCCATAGATATATCAATGTATTAATTTCTGTGTGTGTTAAATAAAGAGAAAAAATATTTTCCAGCTTACCTGATGAGAGTATCATCATCAACGATGAGCAGCCAATCGGCTTTCGGCACAGCTTTGCCTAAAAACCGCCTCAAGATTGCAAACGTCTTCCCACAGTGTCCTTTAGGGGAATAAAATATACAGAAGAAAATGTGAAAAAGATTCAACATCACATTCAATAACAGCTCGAGCTGATTTATTTTGGTTGATAATCATGTCAAGGTCATGACCTTTGGATGAGCTGTCCTCTCTTAGTGCACTTGTTAATGTTGTGTTTCAATAAAATGGAAGAAAATGTTTACAAAATGATAAAAAATGGGGAGAATTGGAAGAATGAGCAAAAGCACCTGCATGTGTGTGAAATGACAAAGTAGAGCCAAGAAAAGGTTGTGGACAAAGTGCAAGAGGAGAAAGCATAGATATGAGGAATAGATGGATGTGCAACTCCCTTCCATGTGAATGGACTTCAAGTAAAGCACAAAGGTGCATCTCAGACAAGAGTGATATCATTAGAGAGATAAAACTGGTGTCCGTGTCTTTTTCACAGAAGCTCTGTTTAGTATTTTTTGCTCGAGCGCCTATTATGACAAAGATTAGGTGACATACACACTTCTTTTCACCGCTAACAGCCAGTTAACTGATTAAATCAGACTGTCTTTTGATTTGTCTGCTCATAGACTGACTGTGGTGCACTTCAAATGTGTAAGGAAATATGGAGCTCGATACTTCAGTCCTCAGGAAAGGAGCTATTACATCCTGTGATTAGCCAGCTGTGCAGAGGTGAGCCAGGGACCAGGAGCTTTAAATTTTCCTTCATTAACTTTAACACTTGCAGCTTTTATGCCTGCAGCTCAGGGCAACATTGTGCTCCAGTATCCCCAAATGTGTTCCATGTTTCACTGAGCATGATCAGACGACACTTGCATAAATGCTGATACAAATCAGGCACAATGTTTGCCATATTTCTCAGCATACCAGCATCTCCTAAATAGTACGAAACATAAAGTGCATTTTTGGCTTATGACCAACTCTGCCTTTCTTATTGTCATGTAGGTAGTTTCGTGATGACTTTATTAATGCATATTCTGGAGTGTCTACACAATCTGACTAGTCTTCCCAACAATTTTAAGCTACAAATGATCTTCATCTGACCTCTGACAGGGGACACATCTCTGTGCTTGTTCCGTTAGACCTCAGTGCAGCATTCAATACCAATGACCCCAATATGTGACCACAGAGATTAGAACACAACATAGATTCATAGCTATCTGATAGATTCCAATTTGTTCATGTAAACGGGGAGTTTTCCTAAAAGCCGGATCCGTACACTATATTGCTATTATATATTTGTCTGCTGTCACATGCATATGAACTTGACAACCCATTCTTAATCCATAGGGTTTACTATGATGCCGGCCCACCCTTTGGAGATATAATAGCTTTAACACTTCTGGGAAGGCTTTTCACAAAGTTTAAAAGTTTGGTTATTGGACTTTAAGTGATGTACAGTTGTGTTCAAAATAATAGCAGTCCAATGTGACTAACCAGAGTTGTGGTAAATGGCCTGTATTTGTACAGGGAGTGCAGAATTATTAGGCAAATGAGTATTTTGTCCACATCATCCTCTTCATGCATGTTGTCTTACTCCAAGCTGTATAGGCTCGAAAGCCTACTACCAATTAAGCATATTAGGTGATGTGCATCTCTGTAATGAGAAGGGGTGTGGTCTAATGACATCAACACCCTATATCAGGTGTGCATAATTATTAGGCAACGTCCTTTCCTTTGGCAAAATGGGTCAAAAGAAGGACTTGACAGACTCAGAAAAGTCAAAAATAGTGAGATATCTTGCAGAGGGATGCAGCAGTCTCAAAATTGCTTCTGAAGCGTGATTATCGAACAATCAAGCGTTTCATTCAAAATAGTCAACAGGGTCGCAAGAAGCATGTGGAAAAACCAAGGCGCAAAATAACTGCCCATGAACTGAGAAAAGTCAAGCGTGCAGCTGCCAAGATGCCACTTGCCACCAGTTTGGCCATATTTCAGAGCTGCAACATCACTGGAGTGCCCAAAAGCACAAGGTGTGCAATACTCAGAGACATGGCCAAGGTAAGAAAGGCTGAAAGACGACCGCCACTGAACAAGACACACAAGCTGAAACGTCAAGACTGGGCCAAGAAATATCTCAAGACTGATTTTTCTAAGGTTTTATGGACTGATGAAATGAGAGTGAGTCTTGATGGGCCAGATGGATGGGCCCGTGGCTGGATTGATAAAGGGCAGAGAGCTCCAGTCCGACTCAGACGCCAGCAAGGTGGAGGTGGAGTACTGGTTTGGGCTGGTATCATCAAAGATGAGCTTGTGGGGCCTTTTCGGGTTGAGGATGGAGTCAAGCTCAACTCCCAGTCCTACTGCCAGTTTCTGGAAGACACCTTGTTCAAGCAGTGGTACAGGAAGAAGTCTGCATCCTTCAAGAAAAACATGATTTTCATGCAGGACAATGCTCCATCACACGCGTCCAAGTACTCCACAGTGTGGCTGGCAAGAAAGGGTATAAAAGAAGAAAAACTAATGACATGGCCTCCTTGTTCACCTGATCTGAACCCCATTGAGAACCTGTGGTCCATCATCAAATGTGAGATTTACAAGGAGGGAAAACAGTACACCTCTCTGAACAGTGTCTGGGAGGCTGTGGTTGCTGCTGCACGCAATGTTGATGGTGAACAGATCAAAACACTGACAGAATCCAGGGATGGCAGGCTTTTGAGTGTCCTTGCAAAGAAAGGTGGCTATATTGGTCGCTGATTTGTTTTTGTTTTGTTTTTGAATGTCAGAAACGTATATTTGTGAATGTGGAGATGTTATATTGGTGTCACTGGTAAAAATAAATTATTGAAATGGGTATATATTTGTTTTTTGTTAAGTTGCCTAATAATTATGCACAGTAATAGTCACCTGCACACACAGATATCCCCCTAAAATAGCTAAAACTAAAAACAAACTAAAAACTACTTCCAAAAACATTCAGCTTTGATTTTAATGAGTTTTTTGGGGTTCATTGAGAACATGGTTGTTGTTCAATAATAAAATTATTCCTCAAAAATACAACTTTCCTAATAATTCTGCACTCCCTGTATAGCGCTTTACAAGTCCCTAAGGACTCCAAAGCGCTTTACACATTCATTCATCCACCCATTCACACACACATCCACACACTGGTGATGGCAAGCTACATTGTAGCCACAGCCACCCTGGGGCGCACTGACAGAGGCGAGGCTGCCGGACACTGGCGCCACCGGGCCCTTTGACCACCACCAGTAGGCAACTGGTGAAGCCTTTTGCCCAAGGACACAACGACCAAGACTGTCAGTTCGAGCCGAGCCACGATCTTTTTGGTAGAAATCGTATTATTACATGGCAAATAATTTACCAGTAGGTGTAGTAGAGTCAGAGAGACCAACAGACCCAACATTCATGATATGGATGCACCTGAGTCTGTGTAATTAAATAATTAAGTGAAAGGGGCATGTTCAAAATAATAGCAGTATGGAGTCCAATCAGTAAGGTCATTCATTATGTGAAGAAACAGGTGTCATTCACATGGAACTTATTTAAGCATGAAGCCAGCACGTGTTTTACATGCAATTCTCTCTGAAAACCTGAGAAAGATGGGTCGTGCCCGACATTGTTCAGAACACCATGCTTTAATCAAAACATTGATTGTAGAGGGGAAAACATGTAAAGAAGTGCAGAAAATGATAGGCTGCTCAGCTAAAACGATCTCCAATGCTTTAAAATGCAAAGCCAAACCAGAGAGACGTGGAAGAAAACTGAAGACTACCATCTGAAAGGAATGAACAATAGCCAGGAGGGCAAAGACTCAGTCAATGATCAGCTCCAGGAAGATCAGAGTAGAGCAGGGCGATACGACCAAAAATATTTATCACGATAAACATTTGAAAATTTGCGATAATGATATAACTGACGATATAATTGACATTAGACAAAATACTTTACAACTCCACAACTTTACTAGTGCAAAAAACCCATTAATGTATTTTCACTTAAACAAGCAGCTGTTTTTTATGGAAGCCCGTTTCCGCCACTAAAAAAAACAAAAAAGCTAGTATCCATAACTCGAAATTTCGAGAAAATAACTGGAAATTTCGAGTTACTTTTCTCAAAATTTCGAGTTAGCTCTGCCAATCAAAAATATACGTGAATGAGGTCGCTTTCTTGTTACCCAGAAGCATATGGCGCAGGACCGCGCACTCAAAAACGGATCCCAACAAATTAAAGTATGTTTGCTGATAGTAACACCATATGATTCAGCTAATAACACAGGGATTTCATCATTTGTGAAGCCAGGCTGAAAACACTCAGCAATCTGTGCATTCACGACTGGATGTAATACCGGTAGCTTAGCTGTAGCATTTGTAGCTGAGGGCTTCAGCTTCCGGGTAACATGGAAATGACGTCATTCACGTAGATTACTGATTGGCAGCGCTAACTCGAAATTTCGAGTTGCTTTTCTCAAATTTTTGAGTTAATATGTCGAAATTTCGAGAAAATAACTCGAAATTTCGAGAAAATAACTCGAAATTTTGAGTTATGGATCCTTTTTCCTTTTTTTTGTGGCGGAAACGGGCTTCCATAGTTTTTTATGTGCATTAAGGTTACATAAAAATTTAACAGTGCAAATGCAAATTCCTTGCTGACAGTTTAACCAAAAGGCATTTCCAGTGGAAACTGGCTGACATATTCTCAGCATAACCATGTATAATATCCACAAAACCTAAAAAGAGGTTATACACACACAATACGGTGCATCACATGATTGTTGGGGTTTCATTCTAATATTGTAGACTCTTTACTTTACAATATAAACCTCCTTGAGGTGACTGTTGTGAATTGATGCTGTATGAATAAAATGTAATTGAATATTCTGATCTGTATCCAGCAGTTATCAGTAAAAATTGTTGCTGCTAATGAACTTACCCCTCTCAGTATTGGACACTCCCAAACTGACTGTTGGTATGGAGGCATCAGTAACATCGCTATAATACTCTAAAAACCCAGACTCTTTCTCCCAGGTCGCCTTCACCACTGGTACTGTGGAAATGAATGGGGAAAGATAACCGAACCTGCAACAACATTAAGCCTTCACCACTGAGCTGTAGACACATACAAACAGATATATATACAGTAGCTATGACTAGTGAAGCACTGATTGATGGCAGGCAAAGCTTCTATTTAATTAATAGACTATAATTTATAGTCTTTAGTCTTTAGACATGACACAAAAAACCTACAAAGTAATAACTTAAAAGTGATCCATGATAAGGGGGACTCATCTTACCTTAATTTATTCTGAAACACATCCACTAATTATTCACTTGTACAGAGCATCAGTGCTTTGAATAATTGCACAAATTATTACAAATACAAAAACTTTAATATACTGAAATATATTATTATATCTGAGTTGCATTGTTATTATTCCTGTGTGTCTCAATCACTTGTTTTTAAAATGATCACAGTGGACAAAATGTTGTAAAAGTATAATTATTAAAGGCAATGAAGTACAGTCATTAAAAAAAGGGATTCCCTCTTTTAATGTTTTAAATCTCAGAACACGATGAAAAAATAAATAAATGAATAATTCGATATTTGCCTGGTCTCAAAATTAATAAAAGAGAACCTCAGATGAATAAGACATAAACACAAAAACTAAACTAAAAGAGAAACTATGTACAAATCGTGATTCTATGACTCGCAGAACCACTTTTAGTAACTATAATTTAAATTTTGCTGCATGACTTTAAAAGATTCTGAGATTGTTGTGGGTGATTTTTGCTCTACTTATTTAATTTTCAGGCAGTAAAACTTTATTTGTTGGACACAACATCTGACTCTAGAGTGTTTGGGTATACAGAGAAGTTCACTGTCAGCTCAGTGGGCCTAATTTATAACCAGTGCATACACACAAACCTGTGCGTAAATGTGTGTAAACATTTCACACAAAAAGATCAGTGATTCATCAATTTATTGGTTAGCGAGTGTATCGATATTCAGCCAGAGCATCGCTCAGGTTTTTTTCCTCCTTCATTTACTTGTTTGTTTCAACCTCTCATAACTCCTGTGGATTCCTGCGCTTCCTTCTCCGACAGTTTTATATAAGTTTCTTCAGGAAACTTTCTCATGTTTCTTTTTTACCTTAGTTTGGCAAGCCAGTCTCTTTACTTAAAGTAAAGTAAAGTGTGCGTGTTAGTCCCCATAGGGAAATAGTTCCTCTGCATTTAACCCATTCACCCAGTGAAGCAGTGGGCAGCCACCAATGCAGCGCCCGGGGAGCAGTGTGTAGGGACGGTACCTTGCTCAGGGGTACCTCAGGGTAGCCGTTCAGTGGAGTCGAACCCCCGACCTTCCGATCATGGGGCCACCACTCTACCTACTGAGCTATCCCTGCCCTTACACCTCAGTCTCTATTGTCTCGATGCATGCTCAATTATCCAGGTGAGTAAATCCCAAAAGGCTGATTCGTAGTTGATGACGTAGCGTTTTCAGTGGGAGAAACGTTTCGTCACTCATCCTTCTTCAGTCTCAGCTGACTGCAGGTTTCCCCAACTTTATAAACAGCACATTTGCACAATAACTGAATGAACGATGGGCTGTTACATGAAAAGTGAAAGACCATCCCTGAATCGAGGAGGAGGCCTAAGGCTAAATCTGTCATTGCAGCCATGCCCCAACTCTTTGTGAATGGTACTCATGGCCATTGATCAGTGGCTATTGACCAATGTTCATGACAATTTCCATATTAATGATCGAGAAACTCCCAGCCCATTGTTCATTCAGTGGCTGAGTGACAAAACGTTTCTCCCACTGAAAATGCTACGTCCAGATGAACAGAATCAACCTTTTGGGACTCAATCTCTATTACATGATGTTAAGCATACGGTATACAGATTGGGGGCGACAAATAGAAGCCTGCAGTTGCAGCCTGCAACACGTGTAGTGTGGTAAGAACAAAATTGGCCATTGCGCACATGTAATGAATCTGTTAGTGAATCTTCATGCAAACACATTTCTTGTGAACAAGGTAAGAATAAGAACGATTCCATGCACATTAATGAATGAGGCCTACTGTTCTATAAGTCTTGTGCTTTGTTCAGATGCCACTTTGCAAACCTAAGTCATAGCACCATGTTCTTTTTAGAGAAAAGAACAATTCTGCACAAGCCGTACTTGTTAAATGTTAAAGTTAACAGCAGTACAATTATAAAAAGACTGAACATGTTTAACTGAAGCCATGTTATAGAGTCGCTCATACTTCAGTTAATCAAGCGCATTTGATTATCAACACTTTAACCTTTTAATTTGATGGAAATATTAAATAAATAAATGATAAATACATAAAGACACAGATAGCAACATGCAGAACCTATAAAAGACCAGATGTTTTCTTTAGTTTCACTGATATGTAAATCCTTAAAATTGAAACACAATGTGCTTGACAGGCACATTTACGCCAGGGGTATATTTAAGTATGGTGTGAAAACCATCACAGGCCACAACACCAAGAAAAGCACAGTGGGGGGGACTGTGGAGAAGGCAAACAAACTTAACAACTTCTTCAACAGGTTTGACCAGCCCACAACCCCCCCACCCTCACCTTCTCTACAGAGTCCAATCCCCACTCTCCTACCTCCCTCGCTTCCCCCCTTCCTGACACCATGACACCCCCCTCCTCCAATCCCTCTCTCAGCAGCAAGACATCTCCCCCCTCCCCTCCTCCCAAACATCTCCCAGTGTCACAGTGGATCAGGTCAGGAGACAACTGAGGAAGCTTCGCCCCAGAAAGGCAGCAGGCCCAGACAAGGTGTGTCCTAGGATGCTAAAGGCGTGTGCTGCTGAACTTGGGGAGCCGCTACAACGAGTCTTCAACCTCAGTCTGCGACTGGGGAGAGTGCCCGCCCTATGGAAGACATCCTGCATCGTCCCGGTCCCCAAAAAGAACCGGCCCAATGAGCTGAATGACTTCCGACCGGTGGCACTGACGTCACAGCTTATGAAGACTCTAGAGCGGCTCTTCCTCAACCTCCTCCGACCACAGGTACAACATGCCCAGGACCCACTACAGTTTGCATACAAGGCGGGTGTCGGAGTGGAGGATGCCATCCTGTACCTCCTACACAGAGCCCACTCACACCTGGATGGGGGAAAAGGCACGGTCAGGATCCTGTTTCTTGACTTTTCCAGTGCCTTTAATACCATCCGGCCCTGTATGCTTCAAGAAAAACTGAACAGGATGGAGGTGGACCCCTGCCTGGTGGCTTGGATCTCCGACTACCTCACCGACAGACCACAGTACGTCAGGCTGAAGGACATCACGTCTGACACAGTGGTCAGCAGCACAGGAGCACCACAGGGAACTGTGCTGTCCCCTCTTCCCTTCACCCTGTACACCTCTGACTTCTGCTACAACTCTGAATTATGCCACATTCAGAAGTTTGCAGACGACACAGCCATCATGGGGTGTATCTGGGATGATCAGGAAGAGGAGTACAGAAGTCTGGTGAGGAACTTTGTCGCATGGAGTCACACAAACCACCTGCAACTCAACACCTCAAAGACTAAGGAACTGGTTGTGGACTTCGGGAGGTCTAGAGCAGGTCCACTGCCGGTTCAGATAGAGGGGGAGGAGGTGGAGGTGGTCAACAAGTACAAGTACCTCGGGCTGTGGGTGGACAATAAACTGGACTGGTCATGCAACACAGAGCACCTGTATAAAAAAGCCCAAAGCCGACTGTACTTCCTCAGGAGGCTGAGGTCTTTTAACATCTGCAGGAAGCTCCTGAGGATGTTTTACCAGTCGGTGGTTGCTGGAGTACTTTTCTATGCTGTGGTGTGCTGGGGGAGCAGCACAGCAAAGAAGGACTCATGCAGGCTGGAGAAACTGATCAGGAGGGCTAGCTCTGTGGTCGGCATGAAGCTGGACACTCTGGTGACAGTGGCAGAGAAAAGGACATTAAAGAAACTGATGGACATTATGGACAATGCCAGACATCCTCTGCACACGGCCATTAACAACCAGAAGAGTCTGTTCAGTGACAGGTTGCTTCTCCCAAAGACAAGAACTAACAGACTTAAAAACTCCTTTGTCCCACACGCCATCAGACTGTTTAACTCCTCTCTGGAGGGGAGAGGGAGGGGAAACAGGAGGACAAAGGAGGGGGAACAACTAAGCTGTAGTGCTTCTTCACCTCACTGTGCAATACCTTTTGTGCAATACTTTTGTAAATAGTCAACGGTGCAATAGACTCAATACTTGAAATGTGCAATTCACTTGTATTTTTATTTTTATTCCTATTTTATTCCTATTTTTTATTCCTATTTTATTCCTATTTATTCCCTTCGTATATTTTATTTATATTGTCTCTGTATTTATTTATATATACATACATATATATACATACATATATATACATATATATATATATATATATATATATATGTGTGTGTGTGTGTGTGTGTGTGTATATATACATATATACATATATATATATATATTTATATGTTAGGGGTGCAACGATATTCGTATCGATATTGAACCGTTCGATACAGTGCTTTCGGTTCGGTACGCATATGTATCGAACAATACAACATTTGTAATTTATTTTATCAATTTTCCTTCTGACGATGCTGTCTGTGTTGAGCGCTCAGTGAATCTGTGTTCGACTACTCCGCCTAGGCTGCACTGTCCAGCGCAGATCCACTGAGCGCTCAACACAGACAGCATAGTCAGAAGGAAGAGCGCAGGGCACCTCCCCCACTCTCATTCAGATCTGGCGTTTGGAATTATTTTGGTTTTCATGTGACGTATGACCCTGAAGGTAAGCGAGTCATGGACTAAAGTAAAACAGTATGTTGGATGTGCCATGCAATGCTCAATTACATGGGTGTGAACTAGTGTGCTAGCGCAGTTAGCTCGTTAACGTGTTGGCCGTCTAGCGCCATGCACGGAGCGATCGGCGGTAGCTCGTTAACGGAGATTTGCCGTGTTGTGGCGTTAAGGTCATTTCAACGAGATTAACCTGAAAGCACTAGTGGGAACACAACGAATATGACTGCACATTTACGCCGACATCATCCTAGTGCAAAGACAAGTGGAAGCAGACAAAAAAAAGCAAGCATGCTACTAACTTTAGCCGAGTCATTTAGACAGCTGTTAGCACATGATTCTCCTTATGCTGCTGAGAATATAGCCCAGAAGAAGCGGATAGTATAGCTTTTATTTTGGAAAGAGCCATTTCTCTGTAATAAACTCTCTTTTCCAAAGATGAGTGATTCCTCAATCAGATACAGGGCTTGCAATATCGCTAGCCCGACGTCCCGGAGCTAGCGATTTTTTCAGTCGGGCTACCAAAATCTATCTCTGCCCTGCCCGTCGGGCTATTGTAGGAAAAATATATGTCAATGCTTTTGCATTCTTTCAGAAATGTAGCTGGGTAATTATGTCATTGGCATCGGTGAGCCACTGTCAATATGTGACATATTGAAGTCGCGTTTGAATTTGCGCTCGTTTTTTTGCTTTCACTTTGCAATCGTGCGAACTGTGTATAGAGAGCGACAGCACTGATCTGTGAGTGATGATAATTTGTGCACCAATTCCTCTGACATCGTCTTATTAATCGTTAGCTTACTATGCAAACATGACAAGTGAAATCTCCCGCAGCTTACACATGTGAGAGGTTGATCGCGCAGAGAATCGCTGAGCTTATGTGAGTGAGTGTGTAAAAGCATTTCAGTTCTGCTGAGCCAAATAAGACAGGTCAGGGTGAAGAAGTGACAGCCAAAGAAAAGCTTACCACAAAACGGAGAAGTTATGACAAATCAGACTATAAGGCAAAAAGAAAGTGCAGCTTTATGGTTTCATGGACAAAAGAATTTCTGTGGCTGTGATATGACGAGCTAAATAACCAGGGCTGCACATAAGTGGTCCGCAGGTGCGCATTCGCTGTCAAAATAAAAAACACGCACAAGGGTTAGGGTTAAATTTAAAAACTGTACTTTTGAGTTAAAATATATATTTATAATTTTAATAAATGACAAATTAAAAATGCATGAACATTTTTTTGTATCGAAAAAATATCGAACCGTGACACCAAAGTATCGAACCGAACCGTGAATTTTGTGTATCGTTGCACCCCTAATATATATATATATATATATATATATATATATATATATATATATATATATATATAATATTCTGTAACTCTGTAACTTCTGTCGGTGCTGTGCTTTTTTGGAAATCGAATTTCCCAGAGGAACCCACCCGAGGGATTAATAAAGTTCTATCTAATCTAATCTAATCTAATCTAAAGTATACTTGTACTTTAAGGTTCTTTCTATTATTTGAGATAGCTAGAGCTGTAGCTAGAAGATATATTTTAGATAACCAAATGTATTGAATGTTAAATAATTAATTTAGATTAACAAATTTTGAATTAGTATATGTGTGCTTACTGACATGATGGATCTTGTTACCTACTTACACCTCTGCAGAACAAAGTATTGTTAATTTGTCCGAAGTTGTACACACACCTCGATCTGAGTGGAACTTTTGGCAAGTTTTCACAGCAACAAATACATCATTCTTCGACACTGGATGCCCCTAAAATAAGAGAGAAAGAGAAAAAGTGTCTGCCTTCATTGGGGGAAAAAAAGCACTGTAGCCATCAATGGGTAAAAAAAATGTGCTTCAGAATATGTGTTTCATATCAGTAATACATGTAATGTCTACATAATATCGCATATGCTCAACTCGTCTTATGTTTCAGATGCATAAAAATCATGTAGCAGAGATTTATACTCGATCTGTTCAAATAGTTTTTAAAGCATTCAGTGCAGGTAGCTGTGCACTTGATTTCCATTAACCCTTCAGATTAAATCAGCTCACTTGCTCACAGAAATTTCTGTTTGCATTCCCATACAGCAGACTTTGGCAGTGGCATAAAGGGCTGACTTCAGTCTAACTAATATGGACAGCTCAGCTGTAATTTGTTGTGACTTAAAGTGATGGATTACTGCACACTGGAAAAAGGTCCAACGCGTTTAGCCAGTTTTTCCTGTGCTCATATTTGACAATTTAAACTAAATAAGAGGAATATCTTAAGATTTCATTGAGTTTGTTGAGTAAACAATGAACGTTACGTATTATTGCCAAGATGTTAGCGATAATAAAACAGTCTTGCCGCATACGTGAGTCAAAAATAACTATTGTTGACTTAGAAAAAAAAATCTACAGGTAGCTGTCATAACAGATTTGGTTTTACACCAAAGTTCACACAAAATGAGAAGAACTGAAATGAAAGTTATATCTAGAATAACCAGACAGAGTGAAGCTGTTACATACGCAGTCGGGCAGGTAGGTTGTAAACGCGGTAGCACAGCCGTCTCTCGGCTGTGTGCAAAACTCTGGAACTGCTGTCAGCTTTGGGCCATGTCCTTCCTCCCAAATAAACAAAGCAATCTAGAAAAACAGAACATGCATGAAGACAAATTCAAAGGTTAAAGTGTTTTGTCACTATATTCAAATTAGTGATGGTAAACTTGACAAAAAAGTAAAAAGGCACAAAAAAAAAAAAGTCAAATAAGGAAACAGTAAAGATAAATTCCAGTCTGGTCTCAGATATTAACAACAGCTAATCCAGGTCCTTTAAACTTTAAACGTGTTTTTACTTCCACTACTTTCTCTGTCAGCATTTGGTCTGACCTGGAAGACTGTGACATTGTGTTAACACACACCTGAATGCTCAGAGCAGCAAACCACCAAAACTTCTGCTTTTTTAAAGGTGCTCAAACTTGCTGATGATTATAAATTAAAGTGCATTTCAGCTGCACCTGGTTGCTACTTACCCTCTTAATTCTTATGGAAGCAGTAGGGGTGTACTTAAGTTTTTCACAGGACTGTAAATGCTAACTGCTCCAGTGATGTGTTGAAAAATAATAAACGATCTACCAAAGCTGCAGATCAAAAGCTACGGGGAGGAAATGCTGTTATAATGTACTTTAGCTCAGCTCGTAGACTGAAAGACACTGATTTCAATTTTCACAGAAGAAGAAGCACAAAGTTGAACTGAACCAGTTTTTGTTTGGTTATAATTGATTTAAACGCTCCAAGAAAGTGACAAAGTACCTCATGCTTCAGGTCGATTGTAAAATCTGACTTGAGATTCTCAGACCGTATCCGCTCTGTGAGTCTGAAACACATGAAGGTTGAAGAAAGAAGGTAACAAAGCACAGATGAAATGAGCAGGTTCCCATATTATATAATGAAATTAACAACAATGACTGAAAGTTACTCAGTTATTATTTTGCAGGAAAGCAACCAATCAGAAGTCAAGCTTGAAGGGTAGGCGATTTTAAAGGTAGAAAGAGACGGTGGACAAAGTAAGGGCCTGCAACAAATCCTAATATAAAATATATAAGATGTATTTTACACTGTGAGTGAAGCAACAGGTAATGGTTAAGATTAGGGATGGGTACCGGTGTCCGGTGCCATGATGGCACCGGTTCTGACATAAACGGTAGTAACCAGACCGAAAAGCAGCGCACATTTCGGTGCTTTATTTCGGTGCTTTTTTTTTTCCTGAGCTGTGATACACTTCTAGCCAATAATTTTACGTTTCCGAGGATAGTAGGCGGGTCCAGGTACGTACGTTCTTTTAGAGCAGAGCTACAGATTAAAATGTCCAAGGCGAAGCGGTCAAAAGTCTGGCTGTACTTCACAGCAAAATATGCAAACTCAGCAGCCTGCAACAAGTGCTTTAAGCTGATACTGTGATACTGTCAAAGGAGGTAACACCTCGAATCCGATGAAACACCTGGCGACGCATAGCGTTTTTTTTAAAAGCCCAGAAATGCGCCGTATGATAGCTTGCTGCGAGACCTCACACCGAGCGCATCTACTGTGCGTGGGTTGCCTGTTATCTGACCCGGAGTTAGCAATATCCCCCAAAAACCCCGAAGAGGAGAGTCCTGGCCCCTAGCCCTGCCAGTGTAGCAGAAATGATGACGGATGATGATGCAGCAGCAGCCGCTCTTCTCTGTGTGAGTAGCTTAA